TCGGGGTTTCGGTGGCCCGGCGTGGCGCTTGGGGGCGGGGGTGTTACGGCGGGGCGGCGCTCTTTTTTTTTCCTGGGGCGGCAAAAAAGTTAGTCGGCCCTGAATAGAGCACATAAAAACTTTACTCTAACTATACTCAGAGTTTAAACCTAGTCTAACTAAGGTGATAGAACACCTATTGCACACTGACCAGGGTGGGCATTACCCAGTTTAGACTCAGAGTTTAAGACCAGAAGAGTCTTAAACGAATCATCTACTATGACTTCCTGTATATCACAAGCTAACACCCAGAATTAGATTAAAGTATTACAGCTACAGTTGCCAACTTTCATGCAGTAAATAAGCATCCCAACTTTCACAATAAGCCAAAAATTAAGCTAATCCCATTTCAAAACAAGGTCAAACCAAGCCAATCCCTAAGACCCCCAACACTCTGTTAGTGGTTCTCAAAGCCAGTCTGCTGCTTGTTCAGGGAAAGCCCCTGGCGGGCCGGGCCGGTTTGTTTACCGGCCGCGTCCACAGGTTCGGCTGATCGCGGCCCCCACTGGCCGTGGTTCGCCGCTCCAGACCAATGGGGGCTGCAGGAAGCGGCGCGGGCCGAGGTATGTGCTGGCCGCAGCGTCCCACCACCCCTATTGGCCTGGAGCAGCGAACCCCGGCCAGTGGGGGCCACAAGCAGAAAGCCGAAGAGACCAACAGTTGATCTGGTGGAGAGCTGCAGACCTGCCACTTTGAACAAAGAGCTGCAAGCCATGCTCGGTAGGATCACCCCGCCCTCCAAGAGCACTGTTGATTAGGGTGACCAGATGTCCCATTTTTAAAGGGACAGTCCCATTTTTGGGGACTTTTCTTATATAGGCGCCTATTATCCCCCACCCCCGTCCTGTTTTTTCACAGTTGCTGGTCACCCTACCGTTGATACTTCCGAGGAGCCTGAGTTACAGGCCCCTGCTATGAACAGCAAGGAGGAGGAGGTGGATGAGGAAGAGAAGGAGGAGTATGAGGCACAGGTGACCAGGGGATCCAGCTCTGCAGTGAGCCAAGACATGTTTGACTCCACTGTAGTCAGCCAATCCTGACAGTCAAGCATGAGAGATATTATGCAGGAAGAAGCAGTGAGATTTAGACATGGTCTGGATGTGAGGAACTAAAGAAAGGGCTGAATCAAAGATAAACCCTACATAAGAGAGTGTGTGTTAATGGTCTGTGTGACTGAGTGTTAAAATTGGTTTCAAAATTGCTTATGTAAACTTCGCTAGTGATTTCCATGCTCTTTGGTGTTTGTGGACTTTTTGCAGATATGCTTAATGGTATGTTATCTTTTGAATTGCATTTAGCAGCCTTAACAATAATGTCACTTCATTTTGGTTGTTATTTAATATAACTTATGGTTTTCTTCAACTCCCATAGAGGTCAAGGACAAAACTGCCTTTGAATTCATTGAGAGCTAGATATGTCCCTTGAGGCTCACCTCTAATTGCTGACCATGTGAGTACCACTGTAGGTAAGGGTCGCAGGTCCTAGTCCTTATATTGTATAAACTCTTTGGCACAGGGTCATTGTCTTTTTATATTATCTGTGAAGAGAGACACACGCGGTGTTATAAAAGCAGGAATCATTTGTGCAATTTTACTTGTTTTGTAAATGTGCTGCATCAAGTTAGTGGATATCATCCAATTTATTTGTGTCAATATTGTGTCAATAAAAGGTCCCTAACATTTGAAGTTTCAGAATATTAAGCACCAAACAAGGCAATGAACCTGCAAAAACTTGTGCATGTGTTTACATTTACACACGTGAGTAGTTTCATCAACTGTGGAACTACTCACAAAAGTATAATAACTGTAAAACAATCACTGAAGCCAGATCTTACTATTATTGACTTCAGTAGTACTACTCATTTTCATTAAGTTAAGCCTCTGTGTAAGTCGTTGCAGTATCATGGCTTAATATTGTACTTTAAAATAACAGTAAACCATAAAAGCAAGGAAGTTCTTAGATAAGGGTGAAATATATCATAGATACTCCCAGTCTAACTAGTGTTTTTTGTTTTTTTTAGTATGTCCTCTTGTGATTTGTTGTTGGAAGCAGTGAACAAAAATATTTTGGTCTTAAAAGATCCTCTCCAGTATAATTTGTACTGCCTCAAAATTTCAGTATATTACATCTGTAGCCATTGAATATTACAAAAAGGGAAAATCCTGACTTACCTGTGAATTTTCATCTAGGGTTCTCCATGTCAAACAGCTTCATAGTGCAACATTCCCAGTCTTCATGGCAACGGAAGACAGACCAAATCTGTGCTCTCACACTGCCTTTAGGGCTACCATTCAGAAAGAACTCTCCAGAAGCTAAAAAATATTGCCTTTATAAAAGTGCTATTCAACTCAAACCATTTGCAGCAGAGGTGGGATTTGAGGAGAGAGGAACACTCTCTTCCCTTTTCAAACTACTTAACAAGTGAGCAATAGTCAGATAAAACTCTGGATATAATGCAGTCTTCTGAGGGAGGGTCATACTGTCGGACATGGAGGGTCTGAGAAAGGAAAAATTCTGTCTTGTGAATTTTCATTCTCAGTTCCCTCCATGTCAGACAATCTTCATGATAGAACGTAGAAAACAGTACGTTATCCCTAGGGCGAGAGAAGAATTGAAAAGGAACTTGTGGATTACTGAGTCCCCTTGTTCTGTACCACCCTTCAACCAAATGCTGTATCAGCAGGAGTGAGGATGTCCACGCTAAAGTATCTGAGAAAGAGTGTATGGCAGTGGTTCTCAAACTTTTGTATTGGTGACCCTTTTCACATAGCAAGCCTCTGAGTGCGACCCCCCCCCTTATACATTAAAAACACATTTTAATATATTTAATACCATTATAAATGCTGGAGGTGAAGTGGGGTTGGGGGTGGGAAGGCTGACAGTTCATGACCCTCCATCTAATAACCTCGTGACCCCCTGAGGGGTCCTGACCCCCAGTTTGAGAACCCCTGGTGTATGGAATATATTGTAGGCAGAAATGTCCCTAGCTATTTTGCTGGCCAGGACAGAAAATGTTTTCAGTGCCCACACCCCATGAGTAGCCAAGCAATCCCTCTGCTGGCCCACTCCTAGACCCAGCCCTGACTATAGGAGCTGTGCAGACCACCTCAGAAGGTGAGAGATCACGCCACCCACAAAATTGCTGCTCTTTTCACTGATACAGAGTAATGAGAGGATTTGTACCTGAGGCTTTGACTCCCTCTGCTATATTCACCTGTAGGCTCTATTCACATCTAACTTACACATTTCCACAACCTTAGGATGTTTGGATTTAGTCACTAGGGCAACAATACCACTGCTACCATAGGAGGAAGATCATGGAGACTTTGGGTATGGAGGCCTGATTAGTTCACTGTGGGAATAAGAGTCCCATGCCTATACGAGAGGGAGGGTATCTTTGGTGTGTGGGGGGGGGAAACCTTCCCCGTTTCCATTACTCTCACTGGCACATGGACAAGGTCCACTCTGAGGCAGTTGAGCATGTGAGTGAGGTCCATGTCAAGACAGTTTAGCAGGCTACATGGAAAACTGGCTCCCTGCCAGGGTGTGGGAAAATCGATACTGAGACAGGTGAGCAGGGTGCATGGAAGTGCTAAATAAAAGCTCGTAACTCTCTCTGGAGGAATTTCTGCAGAGGAAACTCTTTTCTGCTATGCCTCTCCCAAGCAGGAAGATACCAAAAGATATTTTTTCACACCAATCTACAGGATAATTTTGTTATACTTTATAAGATTGTCTGACAGTAGTTTCCTGTTATTCATGTACATGTGATTATGGGATAAAAAAAATTTTAAATCACTTACATGACTTATGAGCCTAATTCCCAAAGACTTTCAGTGAAATTAAGGCTCCTAAGTATTTACGCGACTTTGAAAAATGGGATTTAGGCAGTTTGTAAAAGATTACCCATAGTCATTTGTCCTAAAATCTCTCAGTAAAACTGCAAATAAAGACTTCTTTAGTTTAGGCCAAACTGAACAGGATATCTGGTGGCCATTATTTTGGGGGCAAGGTAACTTTGCCTAAATGCCAGGTTAGAAGGAGGCAGTGCTACAGAACAGCTGGCAAAGATAACTATTCGGGGGGGGTAATAGTCTTATAGAATATAACAGCTTTATGGCCATATTCTTTTCTCGAGTATGTCTGTACAACTTCCACTGAAATCATTAGGTGGTGAATATGCAAAATTTCTCCCTTATTTTACCGTGATTATAATCAAATCTTTTAATGTTGTACCGTGCATAATATTCAGCATGAAACTTACAGAGAATATTTACATCTTCAGTTACTGAATTTTCTTCGCACTCTTCACTATAACAATATATTTTATACACTGTAATTAAAACCCAAATTTGAATTCGTACCAAATTCAAATGCTTGAGATTTAGTATCAGAATACACCTCTACACTAAGTAGTATTGCAAGCTTCAAAAATACTTTTTATTGACATACAAAAAAGAGTAAGGAAATATACATTGTAATAAAACATTTTTCTTTTCCTCTACAAATAAGCACTGCAAATGATAAAACATTCAGTTGCTTCATTTCCTTATAAATAGGCTGAAATAGAGTAAAGAAATCTTATGAAATAGAAAATATTTTGGTAATATTCTTTTACCATCTCACTAAAATCCCAGGTTATAATTTTCATGTACAGTGTTAATCCTTATTTACATATCATATGCAATAGTCTTCATTACCCTGTGGCAGAGAAATGTACATGTAATTATTGTACATTCAGCTATTTGGTTTTATTCAACTCCATTTTAGCTTAAAAATCATTGCCACCACTTTAAATATTCAAAATAGAAATTATTTTTAAATCTAATTTTCAATAATTTATGCTGTCTATTGCTGGCATTCACTCAGGAGAGTGAATTTAGTTCTCAGTTTCCTTTTGTTCGGTTGCATTCATGAGGAACAAAATGCTGTCATGTCTCAATGCCCAGTACTGTAGGAAAGCATTTAAATACATTAAAAGTTATTCTGTTTTCATTCAATTTTTACTTGTTTATTTTAGGTTTTGTAGCCTTCCCCACTCCCTATTTATATATATTTTTACACAAATCCAAAGTTGGTGTCTAAGCTCTGTGACAGTCTCCCTTTAAAAGCCTAATAGTTTAGAAGGACATTTTCAAACCCACAGTTAGGCATCCAGTTGAAAGTTAGTGGGAGCTGTGGTCCTAACTCCCATTTGTGCCTTTGAAAATGACCCTCAGATTGCTACAAGACTTGAACTTATTTTTGCACATCACATTTTAGTAGAGGTAATACAAGTTACATATTTACAACATTTCAAACAGAGCAAGAATATGTGCAGTTTATTTATCTGATGTAAGATTTAATGTCTGTGATGCATATGTCTTGACAAATTGCTCTGAGAAATACCCTATTATACCTTATGATGAAAGGTAAGTAACCTGCTCCACATACAGTGTAATAATTTAAATTAGGATGTGAAATTTCCATTGCCTTTTAGGAATTAATTAATTTAAAAGGTGAACATTTTTTCTTCAGTCCTTAAAGCAGCTTTATTTTAAAGATATTTTTCCAGGAAGGAATTAAAAGAAGCATTTTTGAATTGGGATAGAAATGTTATTTTATTATCAGTTTAGAATGAAAGATTGTATAATGTATTTCATAGGAAGGGAAAAAAGTGATACTGCCCTTTTAAACAGTATCATTACAACTAATTTCAAGTTGATCTTAGTATAGGTAGCAAATAGAAAATAAAAGGCATAGTGACTAGAATAACTCAAGTTATACTGTTAGCAGAATGCAGAACTTTTCACCTATAAGTTTCTGGTTCCACCATAGCCCAAGTTAAGTGATTAAATAGTTACTGTACTATGTCCCATGTGAAATTAATCTATTCCAGGCCAATTCCTGGACAGGTGTCCATATTGCACACAAAACACCCACATTTATTAGCAGTCTCAGCAGCGCATGAAGGATTAAATGGATATTAAAAATGTATTTCATATCTCCACAGGTGGTTGAGACACAATAGTTGGCAAGTTTGTAGACATTTAAAGTACTGTTTCCTGTGCTGTACCTGTTCTATAGATAAACAGAGGAATCCAGTTTCCAGAGTTGTTAAGATGGCACCTTTTATAAACACTAAAGCATCTTTGTTGTTTTTTGTTTTGTTTTGTTAAGGGCCTTATTCAGGTATCAGGTGCTCACTGAGTCAATCTTTCAAAAAACACTGTAGATTGATCAGATTATGAAAAAATCACAGGAAAAAACACGGTGCAATTTATCACATTGTATAAATTACGGTGACCCTTCCTTTCTAATGTGTAACTTGTACAGCCATACTAGGATGCAGTAACTTCAAGGACATATAAATTGGTCACAGTGAACTTTGACAAATGCTCTAATTTTCCTCACTTTTCCTCTCATCTTAACAAACATTACCATAAATGCAGAGTGCCTTCTTGATTTTAGACTCAGACTACAGAGGGATTCTTAGTGAATCCAGATTGTCTTGGGAAATATAGACACACCTAGTGTACACTTTAAAAAGCGGAAGCAGCAGTCCTCTCTTTTACAAAGAGTGGGACTGAAGGTCTGATCAGGCAATGGGAAGAAAGTATTTTCCATTCTCATATCTGAATTCTACATTAAAATGTGTAGAAGTTTTTGATCTCCTAAAGGCAGATGTCAATAATATGTTTTTTTTTAAACAATGTGTGTAGAAATCTTTTTCTAAGCAATTATATTAAGATCAAGCACACAGCTCTGTCAGACATATATGTAAGTGATACAGAAACCTAGGATATAACCTTTTTTTTACCAAAACAGAACTGTAGAGAAATTTTCCTAAGAATTAATATACTAGCTTTTCTTGTATTGTACTCAACTGATTCAATGTTATTACAAACCCAAGCTCGTGACCCAAGGTACTTTATTATCTCAAAGGAGACCTAAAATAACAATAAGTAATCAAAACTATGTATGTCAATGCATCACTTTGAGCTAGAAAGATTAAAATATTTGTGGGATCCTAATGTGTTTAAATATATGTGAGAAGCTGATAAATAAATCAAAATGAAAATAGTCTTCAGAAGAAATAGAAAGTGGTGTAGTGCCCAAAGCTCTAGTCCAGAGCTCTTTGCAACATGAATAGTGGTAAACATGAAGTAGTTATGCCACTTGTCAAAATGATTTTAGGTCTAGACACTAGTATTACAAAAGTAAATTTGGCAACCCATACAAGCAGATTGCAAGAGAAAGGCTAATCACTTTGGACACTTGAAATCACATAAAGCCATCCACTATAATTATTTTTCTATTAGCGTAGTTTTCCATTCTTCTAGAATTATGTAAGTAAGTAAAAGCAATGTCTATTTATTATATCTGAGAGAGATTTTAGATAAAAGTAATGCATTAATACTGATTGTCAAAAGGAGCTATAGAAGTGCAAAGCACTTTTACAAATGTTAAATTAATTGCCTAAGTTAAGCATTACATAAATCTTCAATTTACAAATGAAGAAAGTAAGAAAGAGGTTATAAGATTGGAGTGAGCCAGTGGCAGAGATGGGAACAGAATCCATGTGTATGTCTACACTGTAATTAAAAACCTGCCGCCAGCTGTCTACACCGCAATTAAACAGCCCCTTACCCCAAACCCCATAATCCCAAATCAGCTGGCACAGACTAACCACTGGTTTCTAACTGAAGTGTAGACATAGACCATATGTCCTGATTTCTACTCGTGCTTAAACCATTAGACACTGCTTTCCTCATCTTACTCTTCCAGATTAAAACGGGGGGGAAAAAGGACTTCAAAATATTAGCTTATAAAATACAACCATAAAGGACAATACTGTACTGGTTCCAGAGGCAAAGGGAAAGGATTCGATGACCCAATACATAGTTTTTGTAATTCTATTAATGATGTGAATGCAAAAACTGCATACATTTCAAGACAGGTCAAATGCTGCCGTTAGATGTTTACTTGTAGCTCCCATGGATTTCAGTAGCAATCACGTGTATCCAAGGGTGAATGCTGGCTATAAATCTATACATATACTAGAGCTGGTTTAAAACCAATTCAAAATGTGGATGAACTCTCATTAAAAAAAAAATGGAAAAAGCTGGTCAAAAACACCATGACATTTTAGTGAAAATTTCAACAAAAATTCTGTTTAATTTCTTTCCTAATTTCAAAATTTTTGGCCAAAAATGTTTATAGTGTGATTCTGAAAATTCTGAGTGACCTCAATTCTCATGGACTTCAGTGGGAATTGAGAATGCTCATAAGATTGAGAATCAGGCCCCTAAGAAAGTGGAACAATATTATAAAACAGCATAGGCATGTGCTAATGGATAAATTCTGCACTCTGCTGTGCATATACAACTCTCATTCGTGCCCATTCACAGCATAACTCAGGGCAGCATTTCGTCCCAGTCATAATAACTGGCTAAAGAAACTAGTAAACTGCATAGAAACAACCGATACATTAAGATGTGATGTAGAAATTATTTTCCCATTAGATACTTTTTTAAACTCCGTCCTTATTCCAAACATACATTTTTTTTTTAAAAGGCACAAATCTCAACATGTTTTTTCATTCCAGTCCTCAGTTCTTTTAAACAGAGGTACAATAAGGAATGTCATGACAAATGTGGGTCTTGTTGAATTTTAGAGACCTTTTCAGCTCATACTAGTTGTGCAGAAAAATTGAACTGCATTAAGCAAGCCTGATAGAAATTCCCTGTTTAAATGCCAAATGTAATCAATAGCTGGATAGGAATAGCTTTTTTTATAATGTAAGACTACATCAATTTTGTGTACTCCCTTTACATGGTAGACCGTTGGCCTACCTCATCAAGTTTGAGGTTTCGTTTTCTGGCTGCTGCTTCACTATTGAACTCCACATCAGATTTATCTGTATTGCTGCAGTCTGTCATAGTGGATTCCTCTTCTGTACCTTCAGGTGTCCCTCCATTTGGTTGCTGAATTTTAGAATTCTGTTCTGGTGGGCGCTTCCAGTGGGGTCTTGTTGCCATCCACAAAATAAGAGCACCAAAGGTTACAATCAAAAGACCGAGAGTGTTGACAAAAATCGCCTCTGGCGGAGATGTGCTATATGCAGGAGTTTTCCTTTGAGGGAAAAAATAAATAAAAAGAACTGGTTTAAGGACAATCATCTTAAAGTTGCCTAAAAAAAAGACGACTATTCATGTTATTAAAAATAAACAATGGATCAATACTAGAATACATTGTTGTATGCAAACTTGATGATAGTTTTCAGTGGTTGAATTTAATGAGCAAACAAGTGGAAGAGTAAAATTATGAAATATAGTACTTACAGAGCAAAAATAAGTTTCTCTGTGAATCCCATGAGAGCTGTTGCAATCACTGTTGCAAAGATGAGGAGGCCAGAATAAATATGTATTGGCATGAGAGATGCTCGAAGAGAAACTGGAGCAAAGGGTAGCAGAAAGACAGCAAAACCTAAGACAAGCTAAACACAGAATACAGATTCAGCATTAAAACTGTGAAAGAAATCTGCACTTTTAAATGAAAATTGAAACCACAATAAAAGGTTCATTTTTAAAGTGGCTAAGGTCTGAACCTAATTGGACTAGGAATATATTTTTAAGTATGTTGCCCTATAGTATTAAATCCAAAGACAATATTGTGCTATACCTAAGAAACAGTCCATGAAATGGATTATAAATAAACCAGTCTTTTACCACTGTCCAAACTAAGTGGAAATGGTAAAAAGTAACCAAACTGCATAGTGAAACACACCATTTTAAATTACATAAGAATGGCCATACTGGGTCAGACCAAAGATCCATCTAGCCCAGTATCCTGTCTTCCGACAGTAAAGCTTTCATTTTCAATAAACTATGGCAATAATACTGTATGGAGTGAAAATTATTTTGATTTTAACAGTATCCTCTTTAATTTTGCTTTCTCCCCCCTCCCACAACTTCACAGATTCATTCATCAGTTAAGGCCAGAAGTGACCACTTAATCAACTAGTCTGATCTGTATAAGACAGGCCATAGAATTTCACCTGGATGCCCCTGTATTGAGGCAAGTAACTTAAGTTTGACTAAAGCATATCTTCCAGAAAGGCATCAAGTCTTGATTTGAAGACATCAAGAGATGGCAAATCCACCATTTTGCTCTGTAGTTTGTTCAGTGGTTAATCCCACTCACTGTTAAAAATGTGCATCTTATTTCTAATTTAAATTTGTCCTGCTTTATCTTCCAGCCATCGGCTATTGTTATGCCTTTCTCTGCTAGCCCTGGTCTACACTGCGGGGGGAGGGGAAGGAATCGATTTAAGTTACGCAACTTCAGCTACGTGAATAACGTAGCTGAAGTCGACGTGCTTAGATCTACTCACTGCGGTGAGTTGACTGCTGCTGCTCCCCCGTTGACTCAGCCTGCGCCTCTCACGGCGGTGGAGTACAGGAGTCGACGGGAGAGCACTCTGGGGTTGATTTATCGCATCTAGACTAGACGTGATAAATCAACCCCCGCTGGATCGATCGCTGCCCGCCGATCCGGCAGGTAGTATAGACATACCCCTAGATCAGTGGTTCCCCAACTTGTTCCACCGCTTGTGCAGGGAAAGCCCCTGGCGGGCCGGGCCAGTTTGTTTACCTGCCGCGTCCGCAGGTTCGGCCGATCGCGGCTCCCAGTGGCCGCGGTTCGCTGCTCCAGGCCAATGGGAGCTGCGGGAAGCGGCAGCCACTACATCTCTCGGCCCGCGCCGCTTCCCGCAGCTCCCATTGGCTGGAGCAGCGAATCGCGGCCACTGGGAGCCGCGATCGGCCGAACCTGGGACGCGGCAGGTAAACAAACCGGCCCGGCCCGCCAGGGGCTTTCCCTGCATAAGCGGCGGAACAAGTTGGGGAACCACTGCCCTAGATTAAAGAGCCCTCTTATTTTCTCCCTGTGAAGAAGTCACCTCTCAGTTTTCTTTCTGATAAACTAAATACGATGAGCTCTTTAATCTCTCATTTTAAGGCATTTTTTCTAGCCCTCAAATATTTTTTATGGCTTTTCTCTGCACCTTCTCCAGTTTTTCAACATCCTTTTTAAAATGCAGTCACCAGAATTGGATGCAGTATTCCAGTATCAGTCTCACCAACAGTGTATACAAAGGTAAAATCACCTCCCTACTCACTATTCCCCTGTTTCTATATATAAGGATCGCATTAGCCTTTTTTGCGCCAGCAGTGGGAGGTCATGTTGAGTTACTTATCCATTAAGACCCCTAAGTCCTTTTCAGAGTCCCTGTTTTCCAGGATAGAGCCCCCATTCTCTAGGGATGGCCTGCATTCTTTGCTATTCCTAGATAGATTACCTTTCACTTCACTGTATTCAAATACATTTTGTCCAGATAAGGCAGGTTACAGTACCATATCCATAGGAACTGAGTATCTTCTAGCTACAGTACTGTATATGAGCATAGTCTCAGGAATTCTACTGAAATATAATTATTCAGACTATTAATTTGTAAAAATGTATTTTATCACATTAAAACTTTTTTCTTTAGGCACTACTACTTTGCTACAGAAATGTCGAACGGTGGGCAATGGTGGAATGTCCATTAATGAGAGTAATACTTTTTATATTTCAATAGGCCCCTCATAAGCCAGTAATTGTTGCTCCTTTAGTCAGCAATAGACAGTATGCTGAACAGCGATGCAAAATGCTCCCCCTTTGCAGTATCAACACACTGACTCCACGGGATTCCCTGCTCTTGCCAGCCTGGGGAGTGAGGGACAAAGCTCAGGAGTGGCCATTTTCTGTGTTTCCTCTTGACCACTAGGTAACCAAGGCCTCTTTTTATTGTACAGGCTTCAGCTCAAAATGCAGAATCACTAAACTGAAGGTAGAGAAAATGACTCATATTAAACTTGTAGGGTACATCTACACAACAAGCAAGGGATGTGATTCCCAGGTCGTGTACACATACTCGTGCTAGCTCTAATCTGAGCTAATACACTAAAAATAGTAGTGCAGCCATGATAGCACAGGCTAGCTTCCCTGAGTACAAACCCACTTGAACCCCTTGAGTACATACTTAGGACGACTAGCCCTCGCCACTTCCGCCGTTGCCCATGCTATCGTGGTGATACTACTATTTTTACATCAAAGTAAAATGAACAAATTACATTTTGTGATACAGTATCCTTGACATTTTTTAATTGTTTGTGTGTTTATTTGCACATTTGCAAAATTCAGTAAATCAAAATAGGTCTCCCAGTAGTTAATGTAAATTAGTGAGGTTCTACTGTACTTTAATTAATTATAGAACACATTCTTCAGTTTTATATCTTATTTATAAATACTGTAGTTAAATTCTGACCTGCAGAGTATAAAATATAACAGCAGTCAGTCCAATCCAGCTGTGCAGACTGTACATGTTGGGAATGTTCTTGGCATTGTGGAAATCAAAAACAGCTACCAGAGAAACAATTGCAAGAATCATTGCTATGGTATTTAACCCAGCATGGATGAATTTAATCAGGAGTTTGCTGCATTTCCAGGTCCAGGGCAATCTGTACACAATAATGGCTGAGGAGGGAATAAAAGCAAGATTTAATAGTAAATCTCTTTTCTATAAGGATTTTGATAATCATGCATAATTCAAATCATTCCAATGTAAACTACAGAACAGGAAAAACTTTAGAGGAGTCAGATTTTTTTCCTCCCACTTCACAGTGTTAAATGTAATCTCATTAGTTCCCAACACGCAATTCAGGCCACAGTATAACCTCTAGGGAGAAACTTTCTTCTAACTTTTTCGTAGAAGTTTTGACTAAGCAGGTTAAAAACTAACAGCAAACAAATGTTAGGCCCCACTCCTGAAGCCTGATCTGTGTGGGATCCTATGGGGCACATGGGTCCACTTTTACTGATAAAATTGCAGGATTGGGGCCTAATTCATTTATTCATGGGATCATATACTGGAAAAATTTATTCAGATGCTTTTACTCACTTTAAATAGCGCCTTACTCCACAAGTGGCTCCGTTGCCCCAATGAGACTATGTATGGAGTAAGATGCTGCTCAGTGAGAGTGAGGGAATCAAAATCTGGCCCTTAAAACCTAAGGGGTTCAGCAAAACTTAATCTTGTATCAATATAGTTTTTAGTATATGCATATTGCAAAAGAATGCTAGCAAATTGTACATTTTGTCTAAGTCTGAAAGTATTGCTGTCCTATCAGTTACTGATTTTTAGTTACCACATGCCCCTTCCTGAGAAAATTTGTGGAATGAATCGCTGTGCAATTATTACTAATTCAGAATCCACTATATGTACACAAGTCATGTCTTTTTTTACACTGACCCCTTTTACACAGCTGTCGACCCTTAAACTATATTATTTACAGAAAGGAGAGGCTGCATCTGACTGTGGATTGCAGAAGAAATAGCATCAGAGGGGTAGCCGTGTTAGTCTGAATCTGTAAAAAGCAACAGAGGGTCCTGTGGCACCTTTGAGACTAACAGAAATTGCATTATCTTAACTGCTCACCAATAAGAAAAAAGCCAGATTATAAACACGGGTCCCTCCCTTCCAAGGAAATATCAATGAAGGGAAGAAAAGCAATTGAATGAAGAGAGGCAGAAATTTATCACTTTAATGTAAAAAAATCCAAAAATCATTTAATGGTTGGAGGGGACAGTCCCTTCACAATAAACAAAGCAACGGTTTCTTAACAATGAGCTAATTGATAAAATCCTCATTTAATTTTTCTGGCTGCAGACTGGCATTCAGATGTGTTAGGATCAAGCTGAGAATATAAATTAACTATGCTGAAAACAAAAGAATGAGAGTATTCCTAGCTATATGAAATGTTCCCACTCTGAGGAAGCATGAATGCATTATTATGTACACCATGGGGGGGGGGAGGGGAGTGTATTTCTTTACTTTTCCCCAGTAATATAAGGATAAAATCACTACTTAGCAAAAGAAACGACACTCATGCTTTCAGTTCACTACTGCGCTATAATCTTAGCATTATTAATTAAATTATATATGATAGGAATCCTGAAAGGAAATATATATTGTGTTTGTTTGGATGAATAATAATGAATGGCAAATTGCTTTTAAGGCCCTATTTATGCATTTGGATTTTTATTTGGGTACAGTGCATGCCAGAAATTACAGAATGTCACTACACAATTCACAAAGAGAACTCTGTTCACAAATGGAATGTCCTTGAATATGAGCAGGTCTTAGATCAATGTAAATTTCTACATCCTATGGGAAACATAACAGGAATGAAAAAATCCTGTTAATATAACTGTGCATACAGCATTTAGATATTTTATGGGGTTTTGTTCAAGAATGGGATACAAGTAAAAGCATGCAATATTCAAACTCAAAAAAGATGGCAGCCTCATTTTCAAGATAGCTTGGCAGGAGTCAAACCACATGACATAGCAAAGATTGCTACAGTTCAGCATGTCAGTCTCATGATTACTGTCTAACAAGAAGGAAAATGCCTTGCCATGTCCTACTATGAATGAAGCTAAGCAGGGCCATCCAGAGGATTCAGGGGGCCTGGGGCAAAGCAATTTTGGGGGCCCCTTCCATAAAAAAAGTTGCAATATTATAGAATACTATATTCTCGTGGGGGCCCCTATGGGGCCCGGGGCCTGGGGCAAATTGCCCCACTTGCCCCTCCCCCCCCCCGGGTGGCCCTGAAGCTAAGTAGCATAATCATAAACAACTTCTTGAAGATTTTCATGTAATTATTCCCAAAGTTTTCTGAAAATAATGTGGGCATAATTTTGCCCTCTGATACACAAATGGAATTTCTATTATTAATGAGTATCTGAGGGCAGAATTTGGAACTTTATATTTTACAAACTAATAAATAATATTTAAAAAGTTGAGAAATATACATTTCCCATTACATTTGAAAATATTTTATTTCAAATTAAAAATGACTAAGAGTTACAAAGTTTTAAGCCAGTTCCAGAATATTACTCCTTAACTCTGGAGAGTTATTGGCTAATTTAAGGATAGTTGGATTTTATTTAGGATAGGAGACTATTAAAGTTGTTGTTACCTATAAACACAATATTTATTCACACATTGAGAGGACAGGAGCTTTGAGGTATCCCCATGAACTAAATGATAAACAACTGAAAGAGTTTACATTTCTTATGATCTTTAATTCACATGTAGAGCTGAGGGAATAATTGATTTTTTGGTTTGGAGGCCAAACCAGAAAAAAATTGGTTAGTTTCAAACCAAAATGGATTTTTTCGGTTTCTTGACAAAATGAAAAATCAAACCCAAAAAAAAAAAATTGTTTCAGATAAAAAACACCCAAAACAATGAAGAAAAATAAAAACAAAACAACTT